TCCATCTGACGTCAGCAGAATATCCCTTGTTCCACATCCTCTTCTGAATCTGGCCTGACCCTCTGGCAGCTCCCTGTCAAGGCACTGCTGCAACTGTTAGACGGTCTTCAGCAAAATTTTACTTGCATGGGATGTCAATATTGTTGTATAGTTTGAGCCTTCTGTTGGGTCACCTTTCTTTGGAATGGGCACAAATGTGGATATCTTCCAGTCAGTTGGCCAGGTAGCTGTCTTCCAAATTTCCTGGTATAGAAGAGTGAGTGCTTCTAGTGCTTCATCCGCTTGCTGAAACATTTAAGTGGGTGTTCCACCAATTCCTGAAGCCTTGTTGAGGGTTAGTGCCAAAAGGTGCATCTCAGTGCAGCTTGAACTTCCTTTTCCAGCCCCCTTGGGTCTTGCTCGTGTGCTACCTCCTGAAACGGTGGGCTGCGGATGAGTTCTTTTTGATACAGTGTCTCTGTGTACATTGTCCATCTTCTCTTGGTACTCCCTGCACCACTCAATATTTTGCCCATAGAATTTTTCAAGATTGCCACTCAAGGTTGAATTTTCACTTGAGCTTTTGCAGTTTATGATCTGATGAACGTGTCCTTCCCTTTGGATTTTCTAATTCCAGGCCTGTGCACATTTCATGAAACTATTTGGCCTTGCCTTCTAGAGCTGTCTTTTGAAGCTGTCCGACTGCATCTTTTCTTCCATGGCCTTTAGCTACTCTGTGATTACAAGCAAGTTTCAGAGTCTCTGTGACATCCACTTTGAGCTTGTCTCTCGTTCCTGTCTTTGTAGGGACCTTTTTCTTTCTTCATGAAGATGGTCTTGATGTCCTCCCACAGCTCAGCAGGTTGTGTATCATTAGTGTTCAGTGCATCAAATCTGCTCTTGAGATGTTCTCTAAGTTCAGGTGGGATAGACTCAAGGCCGTATTTTGGCTCTGTGGATTTAGTTTCACTCTCTTCAACTTTATCCTGAACTTACCTATGAGCAATTGATGGTTTGCTCCACAATTGGCCCTGGCCTGGTTTATACTCCTGATATTAAGCGTCTCGGTCATCCCTTCCCACAGATGTAGTCGATCTGATTCTGTGCACTCCATCGGAAGAAGTGCATGCACATAGTCCCCTTTCGTGTTGGTGAGAAGGTATTTATTATGAACAAGTTGTTAGTTTTGCAAAATTCTATCATGTGTCTCTAGCTTCAGTTCTATCATCAAGTCAATATTTCCAACTATTGTTCCTTCTTGTCTCTCACTTTTGCAATAACTGTCCATGCATCTCCCATGTGTGATCAGTTTCCAATGGAAGATGTCGGTAGAATTCTTCAATTTCTTCACTACTTTTGTGGGAAGCCCTGGTGGTGTAGTGGTGACAAGTTGGGCTGCGATCTGCATGGTTGGCAGTTTGAAACCACCAGCTGCTTCTCAGGAGAAAGACAGGGCTTTCTACTCCTTACATTCTCAGAAACCCACGGTGTGTGTGTGTGTGTGTCATCTTGGAAACCCACAAGGGGATCACTATGAATGCATGTGTGTGTGTGTGTGTGTGTGTGTGTGTGTGACTACAGTCTCAGGAACCCACAGGGGGTCACTGTGAGTGTGTGTGTGACTAGTCTCAGGAACCCACGGGAGTCACTATTAGTGTGTGTGTGTGTGTGTGTGACTACAGTCTCAGGAACCCACGGGGGGTCACTATGAGTGTGTGTGTGTGACTACAGTCTCAGGAACCCACAGGGAGGTCACTATGAGTCGGCATTGGCTCACTGGTAGTGAGTTTGGAGCCTTTGTGGATGGCCTGTAAATTTGAATAATACTTGTATCGACTGGATTTCCTTGAAGGTGGATAGATACAATGCCATCACAGACAGTATTGTACTTCTTGATTAGTTTTAGAATGTCTTTTTTGACAATGAATGCCACCCTATTCTTCTTGATTGTTTTATTCCTAGCACCGTAAATCATAGGATCTCCTCGTTCAAGTTGGCTAATACCAGTGTGTTTCAACTCACGGCTAGGATATTGATCTTCATGTGTTCTATTTCACTTTTGATGTCTTCCAGTTTTCTTAATTTATAATCCGCACATTCCCAGGTCTGAGCATCAGAAGATCTCTGCAGCTACCTCTCCTGACCGCGAGTAGGGCCCCATCAACCAACGAAGCTCCCAGAGGCTCCGCTCCCACAGGGCGTACCTACTCATGCCACCATGGCGACTCCACGCTGAGACAGCAGCGCCCCCTCACTCACATTTCGAATGCCCGCGCCCCGAGGAGCCTGTCCTCCAGCACTCTTTCCAACAGTGTTCTGCTTCCACTCATTCGGCTTCATGATCTGACGATGTTTCGAAGCCATGCCTAAGGTGTGCGGTGGCCCCTTCCTGTGAAGCCGACAGCTGAGCCCATCTTCGTAGTCTGTTCTCAGCCTGGAAGCTCCGCTGAAACCTGTCCACTTTGGGTGGCCCTGCTGGCATTTGAAATACCAGTGACATCACTTCCAGCCTCACAGCAACACACAAGCCATCACAGTGTGACAAGCCGACAAACAAGTAGTGGGATCATCAGAGAAGCAGGTTTATATGAAGAAGAGTGTGGCATCAGGACTGGAGGATTAACAACCTGTGATGTGCACCTGACACAACCTTGCTTGCTGAACGTGAGGAGGACTTGGATTACACTTCAGTGTAAGGAAGATCCAAATCCTCATACCTGGACCAATAGGTCACATCATGTTAAATAGGAAAAAGGCTGAACGTGTCAAGGGTTTTTTCTTCCTTGGATCTACAATCAATATTCGTGGAAGCAGCAGCCAAGAGATCAAAAGACGAATTACACGAAGTAAATCTGCTGCACAATACCTCTTTAAAGTGTTGAGGAGCAAGGAGGTGACTTTGAGGACTAAGGTGCGCCTGACCCAGCCATGGTGTTCTCCATTGCCTCATACACATGTGACAGTTGGGCACTGAATAAGGAAGACAGAAGAAGAAGGGATGCATTTGAACGGTGGTGCCGGAGAAGAACATTGAAAGTACCATGGACTGCTGAAAGGACAACCCGATTTGTCTTGGAAGAAGTACAGTCAGAGGGCTCCTTGCAGGCAAGGCTAGCGAGACTTTGTCTTACAGACTTTGAACACGTTGTCAGGAGACCCATCGCTGGGGAAGGACGTCCTGCTTGGTCCAGTGGAGGGGCAGCGAGAGGAAAGCCCTAGAGGAGACGGACAGACACCGTGGCTGCAACAATGGGTTCAGACTAGGAACAGTCGTGAGGACGGCTCAGGACTGCGCCATGTTTCATTCTGCTGTGTCCACTATGGGTTGGAGCTGACTCAATGGCACCTAACAACACCCTCTATCTATCTATCCATCCATCCACCATCCATCATCCATCCATCCATCCACCACCCATCCATCCACCATCCATCCATCCATCCATCCATCCA